GACAAGCACAAGCGATTTGTGCTATGGGAACAGATATCGGGCCTTCTACGACAACAATGCATTGATAATGTCATGTGCTGCAAATGGGACCTGGTACGAAGTATAGGAACACCCATAAATCCGCGACACGAATGAACATAAGAGCAACCATCCTGCCAGCATGCCTGCATCGCTGGGAACATGTTGATGGGACAGGCAAACCTCATTCAAGAGAAGGCTGGGCGGATCCAGTGGCTGGGACCGGGACTGCTCAAGCACTGCAATCGTCTCGCCAGCAACCGGAACGGAATGCCGCAAAGTCAAAGTCACACACACACACACACACATGGTTGGCGTTGCTACTGCACAGGAGACGCCCAGCAAGAAGCAGCCGAGAGCGGCACACCAACGTTGTGGACAACAAGCATCTGCACAAAACCTGGCATCGTCCCTCTTTTGGCCAAAACGGCAAGGAATCGGTCTCGATGCAGCCACCGTCTGATTGAAACACGTGGGCGCACGTGGAGATCTCAAGTTGGAAGCGTGAAGCCTAAACCCGGCGGGATTTCGATGAGTCGATCTCGGACTTCATAATTTGTAAGGAAGTCCTGCCAAACAAACCAACAGCACATGCTAAAAAACAGCAACTGCCGCCAAGGCGTCTTCCGTCGCTTCAGGGGATAACCCGTCCTGCTTGATGTCATCCAAGAAAGACAGATACCCACAAACGGCGATGGCGCAGTAGACCGCCCATAGCAGGCACGACTGAATCGTAAGCACCTCGCAATTCCGCACGAAGTCGCAACCGCACGCGCCAGCCAAAGGGAAAGGCGTTTTTTTCTTTTGTTTTACCGCATAGTATTGATTCTAACACAGTGCAATCAGCTATGCGGTTCAAGGTTATGTCTTGGCATTCCCGAACAAACACAGCGAGCCAAACCCTCCTTTCATCTGCGCATGTTCCCGCCATGCGCGAACATTCTTGAGCAAAGTGCCCGCCTTTCGAGCCAGTCGCTGACCACCCACGAAGCGCAATGCAATCTCGGGCGAGTTTGTGTGCCTGGGTTGGGCGACTTGTGCGACTGCGACAAGCAGCGGTCCAAGTCAAGCTCTCAGCGTATTACATGCCAGGCTACGTCATGAAGGCGAAACACGCCATCGACAACACCTGGCGGAGGGACAGAGCCAGCAGCAACGAGCAGATATTCTACGTCTGCCTTAAAATTGAACCGGTACCTGAAAGCCGCTCTTGTTCCAGTGTACCTTGGCAACAGACGTGATGCCGGCTAAGCCAATCCAAGCCGGAAGACGCGCACAACTGCACCGTGCACTGAAGTGTTCGCTGGGCCAAGTGCCTCCCGGAGCACGTGGTCCAGGGAAGCTTCCCTTGCTTGGAAATGAATCGGGGCCTGCATTATCTCAGCGTGGGGCCCACACTCATGCCATGCCTTTTGGTGCAACAAGTGCGCCCGAAGCCTTGATGATGACAACGATTGACGTCAACAGAATGGTGCCGATACTGCAGGTGGATGTGTACCTTGAAATGGCAACATGCAACAGCTACCGCATCACGAAATGCACAAACAAGAGGCCTGGGGTAAAGCTGCCCCGGCCTGAGCGCAGAGAGACCGCGAAGACAACTCAAAGGCCACACCACCGCAGCGGTTGCCCATGCCTTGGCTGCAAGCTTTACGACGAACTGACGGGGGGGCACAGGGTCGTACATGTGCCAGGTGGGACCAAGGGCCACACTACGTTCAGCTTGTCTGTGCACCACTGGTCGTCCCCCCACAGGGCACAAACCTGCCAGCCGCACAGTTAAGGCACGTGCACATGTCACTCATGCACACGGTGGTGTGAGCTCTTACTTATGCATGATGGGCGATGATGCTTGACACTCGGGCCATGACACATGATCGCTCTATGTCTCTTCCCAACTAACATGATCTCTAGGCTTCAACTGAGACCGTCACAATGGGGACACCGGCAACAGGAGTGTGATGCCATATGACTCTTATGATGAATCATGTGTCAAAGGATCCCGCAACCGTTACCGGTGGCCTGAGGAACGTAATCCATAATGAAAACAATGTAGGTGGCCACGGCGCCAAGACCCTGCTCAAGCTGCGGCAATGCGCAGAGAAGTAAAATCAAACGTCTACACGGTCTTGTTGGCAGCATGTGTGGGCCATGAAAATGCAGCAGCAACTCCTGCCTCGATGAACACAAACATGTCGAGAACCATGGCCCCTGACCTCACATTGGTCCGCTCGATTTCGTGTTTGCTTCACATCTCCATCGATGACGTTCATGACTTGGGCCGGCACTTCCCAAGGATATCCAGCATTAGTTGGCCGTAAGAACCTGGGCGAGACGGTGTGTTTTGAGGCTTCTCGGCTGGCTGTCTTCAACAGCAAACAAACCCAAGGTAGCAGCCGTGTCCTGTTTTCGACACGCAGTCAAACAGGATGGTGTTGGATGCATACGTCGCGACACCTGTCACGTAAATCTGCATGCAAGTAGCGTTGCATTGACAAACCATTGCTCAAGAAATTGCAAAGCGCGCGCCTGCCAAAGCAAAAAGCGCGAGCGACAACCCAATGCCAACACAACTGACCTCAGCAATTACTTGTCGGCACTGTGTTCCCCTCCGCCACCTTTTTCCGATGTGTCGGGCGAAGCGGTCCCAGTGCTGCAGGCCCAAAAGCCGGGCCGTTTGCTCACCAAGTGGCTTCGGGCATGCGGCGTACAAGGGGCGGGCAATGGGAAGAATCAGCGAGTATGTTGTTCAGCAACGGGGCCTCGCCATCAACATTGGCCGTGCCGAGGAGGCTAGCTGCGAAAGCGCGGGCAGCTGCGAAGGATAGCAAGGGGTCGTGTTTTTTTTTTTGTCCACCTTCTTGCGGCTGCAGGACGAGGGTCCGGTCGGCTAAGGTTTGAAGAGGGGTGCATGCAGGGCACCAAGGCGCACAGGGCACGCGCCTAGCAGGGACCTCCTCCTGCCACTGCCACTTGGCGTCACTCAGTGCCTTCGCTCAGTTCGGCGGCGGGGCGGAGATAGCAGCGTACACTCACTGCGTGGCTACCGCGAAAGGCCGGACCAGCGTGCGATCCAGGCGTTGATGGCGCTTGGGCGGAGGTGGGCGGGAACGGCTTCGGCTCGCTGGCGCGCCAACAGCCGGAGCAATTTGGGCTGCCTCAGCACCGAACCTGCCCCGATCAACCCCAACTACAAGCATGCAGCCGGCAGCGACGTGCGCCGCCGAGCTCTGGGCCACTGTCGCCACATCAGCCCGTGGATGGGCCCCGCCAAGCGCGAGATGGGAGCCGTGCCACAGGAAAAGTTGGCAACGACCTCAAGGCGCTTTTCATCGCTGATCGGCCTTTTTTTTTCGCACACCTTTTTGCTCCTGCCAGTGCGAGTCTCGTTCGGGGGTAGGGCAGAGGGGCGGGTCGGCGCCTATTGCGGGCGGGGGTGGGGGGCAGGCGGCAGACGGCTGGCCTGGTCAGGGACACCGAGCTCGTGTAAGCGCGCTGGGACGCGACAGCGCGCAGCGCGGCCCACCGTCCGACCTAGGCGGCCTGCGCGCCGCTGGCAGGCGAGCAAGCGCAACAACGTCGCTGCTTCGGCCCCAAAGCTGCTTGTGCCTGGGCGACCGGTGGCCAAAACTGCAAGCATGGTTTTTTTTGCGCCAGGTCCCACAAGTTTTCGCTGCATGGAAATGCCTTACCCTGTGTGTCATGTTATAAACATTTGGGTGTTACTTTCCAGGCAGCCAGAAAATGGCACGAGCGTAGAGCGCGGCTCGTCGAAAAATGTCACTGCCGATTCTACCAGTTCCTTGGATGTTGCATTGGCCAGCTGGAGCACCCAGCGCAGCAGCTTTGGGAGAATTAGGTTGGCCTCTCTTTCTGTCGAGGTTTCCGGGCAGGCAAGGCTTGGTCTTTTTGGTCGACTTCAAGAGGATGATGTTTGCTTGGCCTCGCAAATTTTTAACTCACTTTTTTTGCGCTAGCTGCCAGTGGTGTCCGTGCCACCACGGCCTCCTGGCTCCTACGCTCGCCCCGGCGCCTCCGGCGAGGTCCAGCACCCTGTCCAGGCTGGGCCCGGTTCCTGCTGGTTCCTGCTTGCGGAAGGGCTGGCCACGCGCGACCCAAGCCGTGCCCGCGACGGCCTGTTGGACTGCGACAGAGATGATGCCTTGCCATCGCCTGGACCAGCCTCCGCAGCCGCAGCACGAACAGCAGCCCGCTCGCAACGGTGGACGAGATCCCGCAGGAAGCAGAGCGCCTGCGTGTTCCATCGTCCGGCAACCTCTGTCCCCCGCCAGGAGTAGCAAATGTACCAAGTCTAACAAGGATATCGTTTCTTTCTTGTCATCGTTTTTCCTAGAAGAAGTTCTATCCTGGCAACAGGGGCCCCGTCAACTCACAACGAAGAGGCGCGGGGTTATTACACCACCCCGGATGTCGTACGCATATTTCGGGTGGTGCGCCTGGCTGGGCCTTCTCACTCATCTCTGTTGGGTTCGCTTAGTGGTGACATGCGAAATTTGAAATAATGTTTGTTGATTTTACCTAGCGCGAACCTAGCGTTTTCCTAGCGCCACACTGGGGTTTTAGGGGATCACCCTCGGTGCCGCCTTATAGCAAAGACATGAAAATAGACCGGCCAAACCAATTAATGTAAATTAATGTAACTGAGCAAACACGCGAGTTTTTGAACGCAACCCATGTGCGCATGGAAGCGGCAAATCCTTGGAGAAATTGTGCCCTGAATTTTGGGGTGGGGTGTGACGGATTCCAGTCAGGGCAAGCAAGGGAGATTCAATATCCAAGGTTTGTGCTAGACAGGTGTTCTGACCTTGCAAGCCGCCCCGTTGCGCACGCGAGGCACCCTGTGTGCTGCCCTGCGCTACGGCCGTCGCCGCGCCCTCCACCCTGATTGTCCTGAGGAGAAGTGCGAGGCTGGAAGCTTTGTTGCACACCCGATAGCTTTTCGCAGGGGCACCTAGTCTGACATGCCTAGTTACCGCCGTGTCGCGTTAGCCTTGAGGAGCTGGAAAAAATTGTACAAACACAAGCGCAGCTTCTACAGCTTCGGCGTGGTTTGCAGTGTTGCATTTGCCCTGGGCAGCCATGACAACAACGCACGTCCTTGGTTTCTACAGCTACAGCGCGGCGTGGTGCAGAATCGGCTCGTCTTCGGTTTCGATGGTGCAAACATGTGTGATGCGTGGCACAATGAAAAGGCGGCCTTTGTGAACGCCCACAAGTTCTGTAGATGCTCGGCACAGTTTGCGCTCGAGTTGTTTCTGTGGCGAGCCTCTCGCTGGGACGATGTGCCTGACTGTGGCCTGACGTCGCCCGCTAGCTTCGCTAATGGCTGGGGTTTCGTGGCATCCACTGCGGGGAAAACAGTGTTTGCGGCCAGCAAGACTCCGATGTGGTTCACAAAACATGCTTAAGATTGTGTGATCCCCTTTTTGGCCATGCAAAATGCGCTCCCGAAACACACGCTCTTGTTGTTCGTGGACAATGAACCAGCGCAGCATGCTCTACTGACATGAAATGGCAAAAACAACATATGGACATTCATCGAGGAGCAGCACTGGTGGCCGGAGTGGCAACGAGTTTGCGGCTCGGCCGACGTGAGCGAACAAGTCAGCCGGTTCTCTTTTACTCACGCCTATGCAGACGGCTGGCACTGGTGGGAGCGCGACTACAAGCAGATCTTGCAAGGCATTTTTCAAGCGGTGTAGCAGCTTCCAAATCACGTGAGCCTCAGAGTGGAATGTTGTAGCTTGTCGTAGCGGATCGGTTCGTGAAATCTGTGGGGCCCGACGTTCTGTGGTGGAAGTGCGCGCAATTTCACCCTACCCTTTTGGTGCGGGGCGAGCGGTGCGTGACACGACGCATGCCGATTCAATCCATCCAAAAGCATCTGCATTGCTTGGTTTGTGCATATGCATGTTTTGGAATGCCGAAAGACACAAGCGTGTCATGACATGGGCGCACGATGGTGCACGCAATGACACTTTGCGGCGAACGCCGCAGCCACCGCAGTCGTGAGTGGATCCGAGGTCCACATGTGACACCTGATGGTTTTCGCACCCACCCACACCGCCCAACCGGTGGAAGTGCACACCCTCTCGCCCCACCCTTTTGTGTAGTGCGGGGTGAGCGGTGCGTGACACGACGCCTGCCAATTCAATCCAATTACAAGAGATCTGCGTCGGCATTGCTGTGTGTGCATATGCATGTATTGGAATGCCGAAAGACGCGCGCGCGTGTGCCTGGTGGCGCCGCACCGACCTTGCAGAACATTTGGCGCTGTGCGGCTTCGATGCGAAGTCGGGAGCACGAGTGCTAATACTGTGAACTGTGGAAGTCTAAACCGGGCGTTGTTTTTCGAGCAAATCATTAGGGGAGGAAAAACATGGAAGGCGTTACCGTTCGGCGTTCAATGGGGGAAATGCAATGTAGGGCACTGCGCAAACATGGCACAAGTGACGCAGGTATCATGAGAAACGCGAGAGAATTCGCTGGATCGAGCAAAGTCTTAACGTATAGCACGGGCGATTCAGCCATCATGACAAACGCGGGAGAATGCGCTGGGTCAAGCAGAATCTTCAATCATAGCACAAAAGGTACCCAGCTATCTTGACAATCGCGGGAGAACGCGTTGCACAAGCGACTCAGTTATCATATGTTATCATAACATAGCTATCATGGTGAATCATGGTGACCACGGGAGAACGCTCTGGGCCAGCTGGGCCCCTCAGATGCGGGAGAACGTGCTGGGTCGAGCGGAATCTGCTAGTGTGGCACAAGCGACTCAGCGATCGCGACAAACGTGGGAGAACTCGCAGGATCGAGCGGATTCTTAACGAATAGCACGGGCGACTCAGCTATCATTACAAACACGGGAGAACCTGTGGGTCGAGTAAAGCCTTAACATATGGCACAGGCGACTCAGCTAGCAGGACGCACATGGGGGTCAAACGGAATCTTTAGTCATAGCACAACGGGCTCATCTATCCTGAAAACAGTGAGAGAACGCGTTGGGCCGGCACACTGCGCAACTGAGACAATGTGGCTCTGCGGTTTGCGGAGACCGTTGCTGCTTACGCGCAGCTTACGCGCGCCTTACGCGTGCCTTACGTTAAAACTGCCCAGTTCTGATCGTTCAGGCATCGTTGAGAGGTGTCAGGGGCTTCGAAGATGAACGCTCGGCGCGTGCATCTCGGTGCGCTCGGTTATAGCCAGGCTTGGAAGATGAATGCTCTGTACGTGCATCTCGGTGCCGTCGGTCGGCCTGCATTTCGGTGTGCTCGGTTAGCCAGCGGCTTCGCAGATTTGATTGGCCCACGCGTTCATTGAGAATCCAACATACAAACTGGGTTTCAGTTGGTTTGCCAGGGCCAAGTTGACCCTAGCGTTCCTTCGCAAAACTGAGTTTTACCCATGCTTTGGTGCTGTCCAACAAGACATTCCGCTCACAGCGTTCACTGGGGAATTCTGATTTGGTAGTGCTTTATTCGCCTTCGCTTGAACCGGTGCGTTCATTGGGGTGTAGATGTATTTAGAAGGAGTGGTTTCGACTTCCGTTGTCGCCAGTAACAGGCAACGCCTCCAGCACGTTGCAGGCGCTGTCCGCTCCGTCGGTTGCAAGCCCAATCCGTCGTGCACGTCAAGGAAGGTGGCGATGGGAAGGCGTGCAGTGAGTCTAAACCAGCAGCGGCAGCTTCAACACTCGGGGAGTCTGGCAGCCAACGGAAAGCTCAGCACTGGGAAAGCTCAGCTTTGGGGTGCTGAAAATTCGGCTGGAGGAGGGTGAGCTGTGTCGCGAAGCAACCCCAAGCAACGCTCGTCTCCCCATTTACACGACATGGGCGCCTGCACCCGCGAGCTGCGCAAATCGATGGCACTGCTCGCCGAACGGTAGAAGGACGTAAGCGGGCCAGGTACCCGGAGCTGTGCTGCCAAGGCCCCCACAAGCTCATTGCGCTGGGGTCGAGCGGGAGTGGCCGGTGTAATGAGGACGCGGGCCCGCTTCGTCCGCAGCCTCGCTCGCTTGCGTGGCTTGCGCGCATTGCCGGCGTTGTGAACAGCCAGCGTCTGCGGGATGGGTTCGACTCGCACGTGCCTCGCCCGCCCGGCCTAGGCGACCTTGACCGAGCCGACGCAAGCTGTGGATCGGTTGCTGCGCCGTTGTAGCAAGGGGGCCGCGGCGAATGCGCTACCTGATTGCTTTGCTTTTCTGCACTACGCCGACGACTGTGGTCCGCCTCGCGCCTCAACCCGTGCCGCCTGCCCCGTGCCTCCTCCCCAGGCTCCTGGCGCAGCCGTGGCCGTTGAGCCTTGTATGACAGATATGGCCGTCTTGTCCGGCGCCTCCTCCGAGGCTGCGGTGGTGGCACCGCCGCCTCGCTAGAGGGTCCCAGCCTCTGCCCGTTCAATGATCCTTTGAGAGGCGAGTCGAAGTGATCGCCAACGGTTGGCAGCTCGCAATCGATACCACACTCGTGTCTGCCATCACCACCGGCCGCTCAACACGAGAGCGTACCAAGCGGCCACGACATTCTTGCATCGCAGTGGGCAGTCGCTGTCATTCGCAGCTGTGCCCGGGTTTCTGTGGCACCTCACGCCGAATTCGCGGCGACCTTCAGTTGCTACTTGCAGCATCAGAGTGCCTTCTGGACACAGGGCAAGCACTCGCGTGCCCGCGTTGCACGTGTGCATCTGTCTCGGCGTACCCTTCATGGAAGGGCTTGCAAGCCTGGCACCCCCGAAGTTCGTCCTCGAGCGGGCTTGGGTGCGGCTCGCGCATGAGGAGGGGGAGTTGAGGGCAGAGTGTTGCCATTGCAGTGACTTGCTCGCAGTTGCCCCCAGATGACCGACGGCGGCTCCACTCGGTATCATGGAGAATGGGGAGGCAGTGTGCGGATGCAAGCGAGTTTTCTGAAGGCAGAGGAGACCTAGCTACAGTTATGCGCCCATGTCTTTTTAAACGAGAAGAGAAGGCAGAGAAGAGAAGGCAGAAAGGCAAGGACTGAACCGCCTTGGCATTTCCACCGACGGATTGGGCTTCTGGTCGCTGCAGCCCCGTATGGTTCCCTCGTTGCTTTAACGGCGGGTCGCGAAACTGGTGCCCGCCACTTGTGCGGGCACCGAGAAGGCAGACGGAACCCGTAGCATTTCTCCTGGAGCCCGGTGGCGCTGGCAAACATCGTGGCAGCAACAACTCACACTTGCCTTGGGTAGACACACCCTCGTGTCGGCCCACCGCTGCGGGCGCCGAGAAGGCACGCAGGTCACTGCACTGGCGCCGCGCTTTGCCGAGGAGCGCACGTACCCTAAACTACTGCGCTCACGCAAATGCCGGCTGGTTGTCCTTGGCCGGCCGTTGGAGCCCTGTGGCCGCAAGCTTCCTGCGCCTCCTCGCCCGTTCGCACCCCCATCCGCACGTGGCGCAACGCTGGACTCACTGCGTGCGCTGCCGCTAAGGCCTTCCTCCCATGCTCTTGAAGCGACCCAACCCCAGACGCCGTGCTGCCGGCCTGGAGCTTCACGCCACACGAGAAGATTTTGGAGCTGAAAAACGTGTTCGACATTTCAATCTCCGCGCCCTGCGACGCCGTCTTCAAGCATCAGGAAAGAAAAAAGATGCCAAGATGCGGCCAACACAAGGTTGCTGAACCAAGTGCAACTTTGCATTGTGCTGTCGCGCAGGTCCACATTGAATAGAGCTGCCCCTTTTTCAGGGACTTAGTTGGTTGTTCGTCAGAGCCTCCAGCAACCTTCGAGATGCTGAGCATGCGGAGACGAAGCGACTCAGAGGCAGACCCAGCTACAAGTCGTGGCAAGCAGATCAGTCGCACCGCGCCCAAGCATCCGGAGGCCCGGCTGGAGAGAAGCAGACCTTCACAGTGAGGATCGAGCTGAACAGTTGCTTCGTCCTTCCAGGCCTCCTCATTTTCGATGGAGCGCTCACTTGCATTTAAGACCAGTGTCTCGTGCCACCGATCACTTGCCGTCACAGCATCGGTCACGACTCACAAATCCGAATCCGAGAACAGCGACAATCAGGTCACAACAGGGCAGGTTTCGGCATGTGCTCACATAGTTGCGTGAGGAGAACCCAGCCATCCATCTTTTCCGATTTAAGGTCCAGGCTCCATATGGCAGTGCGAGCACACCGGTGCCCACAGCACCGGACACGAGCAGCGCCAACGAGGTCCCGGCGGCGCCCTGGCAAGCTCTGCAAGGACCCCGAAGCTTCTTTAGAAAGCCCTAAATCCAAAAGTAAACCTTAATTACCCCGAAGTTTCTTCAGAAAGAACTAAATCCATAAGTAAAACTTACATGGCACAAAGCTGCCTCGTCGAAGGAGAGGAACCCTTTGTCCGCCGGGTGGCCTTTCTTCCCTGCCTGGTAGGTTCTGGGTTTGGCTTGGAGTTGCCATTGCAGGGTTTAGGATTCGGCCCGTTTGGAAGTTCCTGGACGCGTGGCTTGGGATTCACAAGGTTTCGAGCAAAACCCCCTGCACTGCACCTTCGGCAGCAATGTTTGCTGCGCCCCTGCTGCACGGGGGACATCCATAGCGCTTGCACAGCCTGTCCCTGCCAAGCGGTCTGTTACAACAGGTAGTGTGCCTGAACAGTGCTGTTCGCCAATGTTGGCTCTAGCTTTCTGATGCATGGCCCTCTTGACTGCACCGTGTCTGCTAGGGAAGCCTGCGTTACAGCGTGCGCAGTTCGGAAACGCAAAGCGGCATGTCAGCAAAAGAAAGGACACATCTCGATGCCAATTCTTGCTTCATCCACGGTGAACATTAAGAGGATGAAAGAGGTGGCTAAGGATGACAAACCGACATCCGGAATGGAAGCATGACTCACATTCACTCACTGATCTGCTCTGTGAGTCCGCAGAACAACCATTCTGGTCGAAGCTCCCTAGTGCCTGCCATCCCCTTGTGCAACTTGCAGTGCCAACTCAGAAAATCTGGGGAATGAAGCAGATCTAACCTCAAAACCGTCCAACCAAAGAGAGTCATTTTGGAGTTCATGTAAAGGTTTTCGGACTTAGGATTTGGGGCTCTTGGGTTGAACCCCAGAAAACAACAGCAGTACTGAAAAGGCGGTTCGGGGCCTTCCCTCGCCTGCCATGCAAAACCCTAGCAAGGGAAGTGCGCAAACAAAAATCGAAGTCAGAAAGCTTCGGCTTTGGAATGTTCGCGTCCAGGGGCTTTTTTTTTTGCGCTTTCAGGGACCTTTCCCACTCTTCGACTTTTCGTCTTTTCGCGAGGCTTGTCGACTTTCGGCTTTGCTTTTAGACTTGTTGGGACGTTCTCCACGCACAGCCACTCGCAACCACAGGAAACCCGAGCCCCTGTCCACAATTCCCCTGCAAACCTCGGTAAACCATACGAAACCCAAGTCCAGAAACCCTGCTGAAACCCTGCGCTCTTCGGCTTTTCGCCTGTGGCCTCAGGCCGGACGTCTGGTACACACTGCGGTAGGTCTCAAAACCAGGCTTTGCGGGGTTTCGGGTTCAAGGGCTTTTGGTGCCTTAGAACAGATGGGCTTCTGCTACGCGCTTCATTAGGGCAACCAAGGGGTCAAAGGTTCACCCGAAACCCTAAGCAAACCCCTCGTTTTTGAGATCCAGAGCCCTCCCTGGAGTGCTCCTGTCAGAAAGACTGGAGAGTCAACTTTCAAGTGTTATGAGTTTGGGGCCCTTTATAGGGAGCTTCTAAGGTGCATATGCATGTGTACTAATGTATATAATTTCTTTTATGTATACACATGTTCTAATTTATAGGGCTTTAGGGCAACACAGGCTTGGCTCAGCTTCTTTGGGGCTTCTCGGTGCAGAGTTGTTCGACTGTTCGATGTCTGGACCCAGCTGAACAGCCTTTCCGGTGAATTTTATGTCTTTAGGGCTACTCGGGGTGTCCGAATCACCTTCGGACTGCGGCACTCCTCGATGGTGTCGTCTATAGGCTAGGTGACACGCAGTGGCGGCTTCGGGATCACTAGGCTTGTCAAGCGATCCATTCATGCACCAGGTTACGGCCAAGCTTCCTTTTGTGAAGCTTGTGTGTGTGTGGCACGGATCCAAGGCTAACCCGGCTTCCCTTCTTCAGCTCTTGAAAGACTGTTTGCTGTAAGATTTCGAGAGTAAGCCTAAGGCACTTGGCCGTGGGGCGTTCTAGGCGTTGCTTGGATCCACTTGCATCTTTGGAGCACAGATGGCTCAAGACCTTCACGATGCACCAACGCTAAATGGCGTTGGAGAAGATGAAACCTGCCCGTCCTAAACTGGATGCGGAACTGAGATGGTTGTCGAAGGAGACTCGAAAATCAAAAACCCTAAACGCTGCACCCACAAGTCTACCCAACGACCGCATTTATCTCAAAATAGCTCCCGGCTCCTTTAAAGGATGCCGGGCAAGGGCAACGGGTGAAACAAACCGCTGGAGGGCGGACGGCGACGAGGTTTCCAGAGATGTGGACTTCGGGTGAAAATTCAGTTCTTTGTATTAAGTATGGTTTAGGGATCAAGGATTTGAGGTTACTAAGTTTGGGCTCGTGGGCCGAAAAACGTTTTCATAGTGGGTATCATATTCGAGGCGATTGATAGTGCTCTGAGGAACCCTGGCCTCCTTCGCCCCGTACACTCAGATGAACTTCAGCAACGACTGGAACACCGCCACCTCGGGGCCAGAAGAAACAAAAAAGCGGCAGTGACTCCTTTCTTTGCTTGGGTTCAACAAGGGCTTCGCCGCTTCGGGTTGTTGATGCCAGGGAGAAGCAGGCCCGGCGTTGGTGGGCGTCAAGGGGAATGTTTGGTGGAGAGGGAGCAACCCATAGAAAGGAGAGTATTGGTGGCAGGTTGGGGAGGAGGTGGCGAGCCTTGCCAACAAAGAACACAGCAAACGTACATATACCTCGTCAATTCCAAAGAACTTGTCTCACGACGGAAAGTACTCGCATGCTAATAGAAACCATGACGCTAGAGTGATTCTGTTAATCACAATCGCTGAAAGTCGAAAAACTGGCTTGGGCTTCATGTTATAGGGTTGAGGAGTTCAAATAAGGAGCTTTTGCAAGCACTTCTGGTATTTCTTAGGGGTTGAATATGGCTCTAAATACGCGCAGGGGTTTCGTTAAGGGGGCTGGGGTTTAGGGATCTGAGCCTTGAGCTTCCCGCGTAAGCAACCCCAAGACCTACTAGCTGCTTGCATGTGCGAGTGCACAGCATTGCGGCTCTTTGGCTGTCAGGCTCAACAAAGGCCCGAGCCCTCAACCGGAAACCTCCAATTTCATTGTGAGGGCTGCATGGAGGTTCGGCCGACACGCTAAAACTGCGGCGTCAGACAGCATTGCCCCATTCTAAATGCTGTCCGGTCGCAAGCCGCTAAACTGAGTACCGACCGTGTCACGCAAACTACAGCGGCCAGTGTCTACTTTTTGCCAAAGAGCTGGAAGGTCCATGGTCATCTGCCTGGGCTCGAAAGGAGGCATTCAGGTAAGCGGCACGCCTCCTTCCTACCCCCCCCACCTGAGCATCCCCAACCCCTTCCTATCCAGCGGAAAGCCCACCTTCACATGTGTTTGTGTGTGTGTGTGTGCCTGCTGTTTTCTGCCCCGTCCTGCACCTTTCAACATCAGCACAATGCGATCAAAACCACACGGCCTCACACGCCAAAAACCAAAATCCAAAACACTTAAAGCAAAACCCTGACCTTCGAATCCGATCATGATAATGCGGCCCCACATCCCAGAAGCCGCAACCGAAAACCCTGAAGCCTTACCGATCCCATTGTCTTGACCCCATAGCCCAGCAGGCCGCTACCTAAACCTCAAGCCGTGCCGCGAGACGCCTTAGAATCTAAGGGCCCCTGGGAACTCCAAATCCGTTTACCTGGGGCCCCAGGCATGAGCATCGCGAACTCCGACCCGCTGCAGCGTGCCATGCCTGGGCTGCCCAGGAGTGCTGAAGAGTCTGGGGGTGAAGCCGTTTAGGATATGTGTTGGGGCTTAAGGTCCCCTAAACCCCAAACCCCAAACCCCAAACCCCAAACCCTAAACCCTAAACCCTAAACCCGAAACCCTAAACCCTAAACTTAAACCCTAAACCCTAAACCCTAAACCCTAAACTCGAGGGTTTACCGGCTCAAGGTTTAGGCATAACTCTCGTCAGTGTTAAGGTGGTACTTGATTGACATGGAGGGCATTTGGGGATGAGCTGGGTGTCTGGGAGGGTTAGGACCGAGCATGGTACATGCATTTCAAGAGCCCTGGTCGATTTTGGCCGTATTTAGGCTTTATGCATCAATCTTAAGGGTTCAGGTAGGTTTGGGGTTTAGGGCTTGCTGCGGCTTGTGGCAGGTTTGGCAAGTTTGGCCCTTCACTGTTGGAGCGGCTTGGTGGGAATCAAGCGCAGAAATCAAGATGACCGAAATCCAGGTGCTCATCTTAAACCCCTCACCTTAAACCAAGACAGTGCTTCGAGGATGTGAGAGTCCTACCCACACACACACACACCCAAACAGCCCCATGCGTCATATGCACTCATCTTGCATGTCGAGGCACGTCCACACTTCCTTGGCTCGCACAAGATGTTGAGTGGTTATAGGATTAATCCTCTGCCATACTTCGCACCCCCAAAAAAGTCAGCCTGAACTCCCGAAGTTGCCGGGCCATAAATCCCTGGAACAAAGAAGCGGAGAACTAGATCAGCAACAAAAGGTTGTGCGCTGTGCGTTCTCGCCCCCCCCCCCTCCCAACTATCCCCCCCTGAACCCCACACCCTAAACCATAAGGTTCTAAACCCTAAATCCCAAACCACAAACCCTAAACCCTAGACCCTAAAACCCAGAACCCTAAACCAACCCACAACCACACCGCAAGGGGGTCGGGGGGGGGGGGGGTGTGGGGGGGGCCTGTTGGTAACTGCCAAGCCCTGGGGCCCAGAACCTCTCCTAACCTTCTTGGGCGAAGCCCGTATGTGCTGGCCCAGTAACTCCAGCACGCGGAGCTTGACCTGGCTTGTGGCTTCGGATTGAAGCTAATTGCCTGAAGCTTGGTTTAAGCGTCTTCTGGGCAAAGTCAGTGCCTGTCGAATGAAACGGAACCATGAACTTAAGACAACCACCCATGATGAGCTCGAAAACCTTGAATGCATCTAGGCCTTGTTAGTATGGCTCGTTCTCACGAAGCACCGTTTTAACATCCCAACAGCATTTTAAAACCTGAACGCGAAGAACAAGACCCTGAAACTCCTGACCCACAAACCGCGAAAGTAGCTGCCCCAACTCAAATCCCGAAACCCTCCAGCCCGGACTGTAGCCTCTAGACGCCAAGAACTGAACAACTCCAAACCCTAAAGTGCCTTGGAACCCCAAACCCGCAACCACCCCTAATGCCCTGAACCCGCAGACACCCCAACAAAGACAACAAACGAACAGTACTTGGAGAATCCAAGGCTCCAGGTCGCGACGCCTCTCCCAGTTCAAGTGGCGGCCCTGGGCGGCGTCAGGCTACTGTCGAGAAGTAGGAAATGAGGAACCGACTTGGGCAAGCAGGGCATTAGGCACCTCGGGTGGGGTTTAGGGTTTCGGGTTTCGGGTTTGGGGTTTGGGGTTCGGGGTTTGGGGTTTGGGGTTTGCAATGGGCTTGAGCCGAGGATTCGCAAGGCCGGAATCGTCGTGCGGGCATGGATGCTCTGGCCATTCGCACGCACTGGTACTGACCATGTGTCTGGCCTCGAGCACACGCGAAACATCGCAGATAACGATGTTTCCACATATGTGAGGACGTGAGAACGTGTTTCAACGACACTCGCTTCCCTTGGTCCCGGGGTGGGTGCACCGGGTGCAAGTGGTATGACGGAATCACCGTGTGGGCATGGATGCTCTGGCCAATCGCACGCACTGGTAACACGGACGCTATCATCGTGCGGGCATGCATGCTCTGGCTACGCATGCATTGGTAACACGGACGCCACACGCACTGGTACTGACCATGTGTCTGGCCTCGAGCACACGCGAAACATCGCAAATAACGATGTTTTCCACATACTTGAGAATGTGTTTCAGCGACACTCGCTAAGCAAGGTGCAAATGGCATGACGGAAACGTGCGCGTTTCCTTCGTCGTCCCAGACATGACCCAAACCACTCCGGTACCCCTTCGTTCGAAGCTGAAGAATGCCATGCGTGTTTCGTACCACCCATGCTACACTTCTTTTCATATCGTAGAAGCAGCAACCGTGTTGGAAAAAAAACGGAGCAAGGGTCGTGCAGAAAGCACAGGTTGGAAGTGAACCAGTGCTAAACCCTAAATCCTAAGCCCTGACCCCGCAACCCTCAACCCTAAATCCTAACTCCTAAGCTCTATCTCCTAAATCCTGATCCCTAAACCCTAAATCCAAAAAACCCTCAAAAATCATAATCAGGCCACGACCCCATGAGGGTTGAAAAAGACATAGGTAGGGACGGTTTACGGCTTAGGGTTTAGGGTCTAGGGTCGCAGCGAAACCTCTGGATGAAGCCCCCTTTCGAACTGGAAAGCGGAAAAACCCTTAGCTCCATGCATTTAGGATTTAGAGTTCGGGGCTGGGGTCCTTGCTGGTTACTGGCTTGTAGGAGGGAAAAAAAAAAACTCACCAGGCACTGCACCATATTGGAAAAAAATCCCAGGTTCCCAACTCCCCAACCCAAAAACCAAGAATCAACAGTTGGTGTCCAGGGTTCAGGGGAGCGAGAGATGAGAACCCTAAGCCCTAAACCCTAAACCCTAACCCTTCAACCCGAAAAAACCCGGACCGTCAGGAAATCACTGCGTGGGCCTGGAAGTCGGCAAGCCTCTTCAGGAGCTCGTCTGGCTTCCGACCTTTGCAGCTCAGCTGAGGAGGGTTTAGGGTTTAGGGTTTAGGGATTAGGGTTTTAGGGTTTTAGGGTTTTAGGGTTTTAGGGTTTTAGGGTTTTAGGGTTTTAGGGTTTTAGGGTTTTAGGGTTTTAGGGTTTTAGGGTTTTAGGGTTTTAGGGTTTTAGGGTTTTAGGGTTTAGGGTTTTAGGGTTTAGGGTTTAGGGTTTAGGGTTTAGGGTTTAGGGTTTAGGGTTTAGGGTTTAGGGTTTAAGTTGTTCTTGCTTGTCTTTAACGGTTCTGTGGACTTTCGCTCCGCGCGAAGTCCTGTCCCAAAGGACGGGGACATGCACCAGAATTGAATTAGGGTTTAGGGCTTAGGGTTGGCTTAGAGGTTTAGGATGACGGTTATTCAACATTAGGAACCCGAGAGGGACCCAGGGTTGAGTGCTGCTTTGCCCACTTAGCCGCCTCCGAAGGATTGAACCGTTTTAAGTAAGTTTTAAGGGGATTCTCAGCAGTTGAGGCTTTACAAGGCCGTCTGCGGCCTGACCTGTCAAGTACATCCCAAGCACCTCAGACTCTCATGTCCCTCATGAAAACCCAATGAAATCCCTCAAAGGCCTCAATCCCTCACCCCAAGATCCCAGCCTCAACCCTGCAGGTCTGTGAAGCTTCCTCACCTAGTCTCGCCTGGACGACGATCGACTTTGGGACCCACTTTGTCGGGTTCAGGGCTCTGGGGCTGCGGCTGTCGCCCTTGCAAGGCGTACCCACACCCATGACGATCCAGGCGTTGTTGTGGCGGCTCAGGTTGCAAACCTGGGCCCAGAGCGGGGATTCTATAGTGTTCAGGTGTCAGCCAGGGTTCAGGATTGAGAGTTCAGAAACATGAGCGTAGGGTTCATGTACCACTCCATGACCATGTCCTCAAAACCCGACAAAACACACAAAGGCCCGAAAGTCCCCCAAAACTTTGACGGTCGCTCGAAACGTCGAAACGTCTCTTCACTTGAGCGGCGATGGCACTCTGCGATTTCGTCGGAGTGAAGGAGTAGCTCGTCCTTGGAGGCCAAACTGGGAGAAAGAGTTCATTGAAAGCGCCACAGGGGCAAAACCGAAATTAGGGTCCTTGGCTTCTAGGGACTTGGACCTGAGGCATCCCGGGCGAAACTCAGGAGTCCGAAAAAGAAAAAAGATTTGCAAAGCTCAAAAAGGAGTTGCACGCACGTCGCATACCGGGGCTAAGGTCGGTTGGGCTTCAGATTCTGTTGCGCCCTCCAATCGCACCACGAAAATGCGAGCCGCGCGTCAGTTCCTGCTCTCGCGCAACGTCGATGAGCGAGAAGGAAGGCGAGGTGAAGTTCGCCAGGTCATCGGCCTTCTAGTGGTGTTCGACTTGTCGTGCTTAGGGAAGGCGATTTCGGGTTTCGGGGGCCAGGGCTCCCATCTGTAAATATCGTCTGGCGCTTGGGCTGAGGGGAAGGCTTCACAGGGGAGAGATGCGGGAGGAGGAGGTTCAGGGCATACAGGCATGAGGGTGGTCTTGCAATGTTACTTGCTTCTTCGGATTGCAATCAACAAAACTGGCAAAATCGAAGGTTGCCTTGGAATAGAGCACGCAACAACCACTCCCGTTTTGCTGCTGCCCGCACGGACGTCGAGTGCAGCCTTTTACCATCATAGAGCTTCCTAGCGGTCCTAGCCTGAACCCCTCCTGTTTAACACCACAAATCTCCGAGAACGAACCCGTCACCCGAAACGCGAAAACCCTAGACCCTTGGCCCTAAATCACCTAAGCAACGACTGTGGAATGAAGGCATGAAGGCTAGGCGGATCCAGGCCGCCTCGAAGGTCGACATGACGAAGTACCTGGGCAAAGCGATGGGCATCGACCATGGACGGTTCTCAGGTTTGGGATGCTTCTTGGCGGGGCTTGGGCGCGAAGAGTTTCAGTTTCAGGGTGCAGTGTTTAAAGTCTGCGTTTGGAGCCGACAGCTGAGAACACATGGAAACTAGGGTTTCGGCTGACGGGGAATCAAGGAAGCTTGCAGCGCTAGGACTTGACATAGTTTGAGGCTTCGGGTGGAGCGTCCCGTCTTCACCAGCACGCTCTCCAATCGAGGGAAGGTTCTCGTTCGCCATGGTCATGCACTGCACTGCCCCCAACTCAACGGGTGCTCTGGGCTGACCCATGCGTGCTCTGTGAGCGCAGCGCCACTATCTCTTGGCACGGCCTATGCACTCACCCCTATGTAGTAACATTCTTTCCAAGCGGCAAATCCGTAACTTCATTCGGCATTGCTGACACGTCGACGATCATGCGCGCCTCCTGGGCAGCCATTCTTTTCCAGGGTTCTAGGGTTTGATTGGGTGCAGACAAGCGCTTGCAGTAGGCGGCAGGACACTACCCCAAACCCTGAAATCAAAAGCCATAAACCCTAAATCTCAATGCCCAAAAACCTCTTTGCATTGCTTCAGCAGTCCTGGGCATGCTCGCTCGCGGGAGGAGAGTGTCGCAGGGCCCGCTTGACCTTCTTGGTCAACTCCTGGCGTAGGTTTGAGGGTTGAGAGCCTTCGGGCTTTTGGCGCGGGTTCTTCCGGGCTTAGAGTTATCGGGGTGCTCTGCTGTGGCGCTTCGATGGTTCAGGCTTAGATGATCATTAACCCTGCAAGCTCGTGGCCCCCTTGGGGCCTGGTTCCTATTTTGGGGCCCACAAGGCCGAGGCAAAGCCCCAAAAGCGGAAACCGTAAGCCCCACAATCCTAAAAGGCCTCCGACTTGCGCCCCGAATCCCTGAACTTGCCCTCCCCCCACCCTAAACCCTAAACCCTAAACCCTAAACCCTAAACCCTAAACCCTAAACCCTCAACCCTCAACCCTAAACCCTAAACCCTAAACCTTAAACCCTAAACCAAGAAGAAAGTGTGCCCTCGCCTCCTTGTGGAAGCTGTCCTGTCAAGCTGCTGGGATTTAGGGTCTTGGGGGCGCTCGGGGTAAATGCCCAAAACCAATGTTAATAATGATAACAAGAAGAAGAAGCAGAAGAGAAATGGAAATTGCAATAGCAATAGCAATAGTAATAGTAATAAAAATTGTAATTGTAATTGCAATAACAACAACAACCATCACAATAATAACAAGAATAACAATAATAACAACAATAACAACCAATAACAATAATAACAATAATAACAATAATAACAATAACAATAATAACAATAATAACAATAATAACAATAATAACAATAATAACAATAATAACAATAATAACAAAAACAACAATAATAACAATAATAACAATAAAAACAATAATCACAATAATCACAATAATCACAACAATAACAATAATAACAATAATAACAATAATAACAATAATAACAATAATAAAATAATAACAACAATAACAACAATAACAATAATAACAATAATAACAATAATAACAATAACAACAATAACAACAGTAACAATAATAACAATAACAATAATAACAATAATAACAATAATAACAATAATAACAATATTAACAATAATAACAATAATAACAATAATAACAATAATAACAATAATAACAATAATAACAATAATAACAATAATAACAATAATAACAATAATCACAATAATCACAATAATCACAATAATCACAATAATCACAATAATCACAATCATACCAACCAGCACAATCATAACAATCATACCAATCAGCACAATCATAACAATCATAGCAATCATAGCAATCATAACACTCATAATAATCATAACAATCAAAACAATCATGACAATCATAACAATCATAACAATCATAACAATCATAACAGTCATAACAATCATAACAAGAAAAAACAATAACAATAATAACAATACTAAACAATCATAACAGTAACAAATAATCAACAATAATAAACAATAATAAACAATAATAAACAATAATGACAAATAATAACAATAATAACAATAATAACAATAATAACAATAATAACAATAATAACAATAATAACAATAATAACAATAATAACAATAATAACAATAACAACAATAACAACAACAACAACAACAACAACAACAACAACAACAACAACAACAACAACAACAACAACAACAACAACAACAACAACAACAACAACAACAACAACAACAACAACAACAACAACAACAACAACAACAACAATAACAACAATAACAATAATAACAATAATAACAATAATAACAATAATAACAATAATAACAATAATAACAATAATAACAATAAACAGTCCAAGTTTCGCCATGCCGGAACCTAGCGTCTAAACCACGCTTGGACTCCTCACAGCCTCCCAAAGAATGCCCCCTGCATCCCCCCATCTCCTATAAAGACCAGAGCGTGTTTGGGGTTCAAATGGGGACTTGGGGTATGGGGGCTTGGAGCTTTTTGGGGGGCTTCGGGCTTTCGCGTCTTGATATTTTGGTGTCGGGGTACGTCGGGGTTGTCCGATCGGAACCCCCCCCCAAACCCAAAACCCCCAAAACCGCATCTCCGCCCCGCCTTGTTCCCAGTCTGAGCGGCATCCTGCCAGCAAGCAGGAAGTCTTAGGGTTTGGGGATCTTTAGGAGCTTCAGGGCTTAATCTACCCTCAGTCCTCAAACCTGAAAAATCCCTAGCCCTCAATACCCTACCACAAGCCCTAGCCCTTAGCGGCCTGGCCGGCCGAGGGTGCCGAGAAGTTCGCGCAATGCAGGAAGTGCTCCTCCTTTGCGGCCGGGGTTAGGGGTTTCAAGCTGAGATCGAACGGTTCGGCTGGGGACTACAACGGTAAGCAAATGGCATTGGGCACGTGCTTAGAGCAGCAAGCTATGCGGGAGGGGGCTTACCATCCCTCTGGTACCCTAAGCACTACAAGGAAATTCTATCAGAATCAAGACCCAGAAAGAAACCAAAGTGAACAAGGAAGGACGCTTCCGCGTACAGAGGCAACGTTGCAAACTAAACGATGCGGGCTTACAGGTAGGTTTAGTAGTACTCCTAGCTGGGCCATGCCGGGAATTGGCTTCACTGACCTGAACACATGTAGGGTTTGGACTCGAGGGCATATAGGGGGCGCTGCCAATCCAGGAAATGCCGAGCCCCAAGCAGCGAAGACGTAGCAGCTACAGTCCAGGCCGTCCTGCGAGGGTGGAGTTCTCGGGATGGGAGCGGTCAACCCTGCAGGCTGGGCTGATGGAGCCCAAGCGCTGACTATCCCATCTGTATCTCTGAGAGCTGAGGGTTCAGGGCTTGGGGCGCCGCAATCCGTCTGCCAGAAAACAGGTTTTTCTCCCCAGGAGTCCATGACCGCCGCGCTCTTCGCGGACCATCTGAGAACCACCTGCGAAGAAGACAATGAGCCTTAAAGAGATGTTCCTAGTTGGCCGAAAAGTCACCTAGTTTCCGATCGCCAGTTCTCTGAGTGATGGTCGTTCGAGGCGAGAACCAGCTTATTAAGAAAACCACAAAAGCAGCAAGAGTCTTGGAGTCCTTGCATTCATCGCAAGCTCGGGCTAGCAAATAACAGCTTGGGGCTTAGAGTGCTTGTACCCTGAGTCTTGAGATTCCTATAAGCAGGGGCACCTGGCCCCCACAATCCGGAAACATCGGGAACACCGATTGAACACTCACCTATATCCTACGTACTATGCTTAATAAACGAGTGGCGAGATTCGCAAGTTCACCTCGGTACAGTCGGATTCAGTGGCATTGGGACTTGGGAGCACAGGGTTCACGCGCTTGTCGAAACGGCTTCAGACATCCATTTACTCGTCTCCTAACCTGCAACCTGCCTCAAGGTCCGCCAGCTTGCGTGACGCCTCGGCGCAGGCGGCAGAAAGTGAAGGCGTTCTATTTCGGGGTTTTGTACTTAGACGGTCTTGGGTTGGGCATTGGGACATGCTCTCCAGATAGGAAAAGTAAAGATCGGAGCCGGTGGACATGAAATGTCACAATTAGCGTGCAGATGTCAACCTACCCCCCCCCCCCACCCAGAATCGCGGCCAAGCATCTGCAGGACTAACCACAGAGACCTCGGATGGGACAAAGAGAGAACAACAATGCATGAACTGTCATGAACTGCCTATATAGAGAAAAAACATGTGCCGAGGTGCAAAACAATTTCCAGCAAAAGAGCACTGTCAGAGAATCATCCCCTCGCAAGCACATCACTAAATTCTAACGAAAGCGCCCGGCCCTTGCTTTCAAGCAGGCACTTATTTTGCAACACGGACTGGGAAAGGCACAACAAGAACCGAACCACAGCATCCGTTCTCTCTCTCGCCTGCCCCTGATTACCCTTCTTTCCACATAAGCACTGATTGCTTTTGTCAAAAACACACTTGCGTCATGCACACATTCATTTCACATGACCAGCATTGCGACTGCATTTGGCCGAGTTCTAATTATTGCGAAGAAGGCTCACCCATCCATAAGCTCCCCCTTGTGTGTTCATACGATTTGATTTTGTGCGGTACAGGTTACGTCGACTCACCGCTTCATTCCTCGTGCATCGGTGAATGAAAATTCGCCCGTGGTAGCAAAAACAAAGTGCATTGTGTATTTCGGGTGCTGGTTCTAGACGTTTGCCATTTCTTTTGGTATGTGTGCGCGCGCTGTTTCGCAGTTGTTTCTTTGTGTCGGCCCTTCGCTCCTTCTTTCTTCACAAACTAGTGACAATGTTTACTCACTTGCAAACGACAACGTTAATGTCAGTCAAGAAAATCGCGCGAAAGAGCCCACAGTTCGAGGCTACGTGCCAGGTATCTAGGATATGCTGGCAAACCGATATCCGCTCTATTGCACTTCTACCGCTTCACTCATGAAGAGAAGCCGCTAGCAGCTGGGAAGACAGGACACAACAATAGGCGATATTGCGATACCCAATCTGGCAAAGAATGTTTGGATAGCTGTTTGACTGAAAGATCCTGGTAACGCTTTCTCGCATACATACATATACATATGTATATATATATATACACAGATATATGTACATATACATATGTATATATGTATATATATATGTTTTTATTTATTTATTAATAGATTTACAAGTGGGTTTGCCAAAGTGCCAACAACCCGCATACCCAGTCAAGGGAACAACGGTAACCGGCAGCGGCCGCGCAATCCCGACTGAGGTTCTAAAGGAAAACCAGCCCGCAAAACGCACCCGAAACAAACGTGGTCAACACAACATGCCTAGCAAACTTGCAAGTGAAAGCAAGAATGCCTTGCGAAACTTACTGCTCGTGACGCTATAGCTCGTTTTTTTTGCTGCTCATTCCTTGACTGAGCTCCTGGCTCCGAGCGACACCCACAACCCTCACTTCGCCCTACAGAAAATTTGTTTCAAGATTGCTCTGAAGAGTTAGCTACACATGCTGCAAGGCAGCATTGGTGTCGATGCCCTCGTAGATGGCCATCCTCGGATGCACAACACGGTCATCTGAGCCGTAAGAGCACCCCGGACCCAAAGGCCCTGGCGCACAAAGCATGGCCTATGCTATGTAGGACTGCATCTCGCGACCAGAAACAGCCCCAGATGCTGACAGAAAGAAAAACCCTTCAATGCTCCACACACTACGCCAAGCCCAAGAGTCAAATCTGCGATCTTTGTCGTGGATTCGGGGTTCTGCAGGGTTTCGACCTTGGCGCCGATAGGAAAGTAACTCCGAGCTCTCTCTCGGGCCGCCAACCTCGCACGCAAAACCAAAAATCTCTGGCCCCTGCCCGAGAAGCACTCTCGTTCTCACGCGGGGCTTTTGTTTGGGTTGTTGCGGCGATTGGGGATTTACAGGCTAGGGGTCTGCGCAATTCTGCGTACTGGGTTGCAATGTAGGTCTTTGGGCTTCAGACCCAGTGCGGGCGTATCCATGGGATTCTTGAGTGGGGCCTCGAGAGCTGAAAGCTGCTTAGGCTTATATATGCCCTGGAGAGGCTCTTTGCAAGGTGACGTCATGAGATTCCTCCGAACCACGCCAGGAAACTGCCAAACCATCTTATTGCAAGGCGATTACATGGGGCCCCGGCAATGCCTCTTCCTTTGCCGCAGTCCATGATGTCCACACTGAAATCGACATCCAGGTATTCCTTAGGTGCAAGTTGAGGGTTTTCTTGTCTCGTCAGTTGACACGCTCTGGACAAGAGAGGCGGCTGCTGCTTCTACCCCCCACCAAACCACCTCCCCACTCCCCCCGCTCCTCCCCCTACCAAACTGTAAGCCACCGACAACTCTGGAGGGGGTGCAACACTCGGGTTCGGGCTTGGGGCTGCCTCCTCCTGCGGATTTCAACAAAATGCTCAACCAGGAAGCCTGATCATCGGCGTTGCCTCGCTTTTCGGGTTTAGGCGTTTCCGCCCCTTCGCCTTTGCGGTAGTGCCCAGATAGAATATCTGTGGCTAGGTCAAAATCTAAATCTAAATAGCTCTATCAAAAACAAATAGGCCGGATTGCGCAGGCCAGGTTTTGAAGTAAAACGCGTCCGTCGCTTGGAACCCCTGTGCGGCAGCAACAGCCGCGCTTTTGGCTGGGGGGTTCCTCGAGGCACTTTCCTGGCGGGGCTGTCCCATCGAGGATAGGGGGACCAGAGCCGGGAGGGTCCATAAGGTAGGAGGTTTTTACAGGAGGGGTCAGGAGCGGAGGTTCATAGAAGGCTTTTTGTGCCCATAAAGGGTTCAGAGCAGGTCCTTGGATGTTCCTTCCGTGGAAGAGTCCACGGTTTTTATGAGGGTAAGGATGGATATGATGTCACTTCTGCAGTTTCGACTAGCCTTCCATGTGAGGACCTCTGACCATCCCCACCGTCCCCACCGTAACTCCCCTAAGCCCAAGCTCTGACCCGTTCCAAGCCTTAAACCTCAATCCCCTAAGATCCAACAAGGCCCCCCATGGTTCGGCCCTGGCTTCTGGCGCTGTTCCCTCGCTCGTGCCGACTCTAAGCACGGGCGAGGCCGCACGCGTGTCTCATACGCATGTTTAGACTATTGTCTAGTACGCTTTATCTTATTATGCTATATATATATATATATATATATATGTATGTATGTATGTATGTATGTATGTATGTATGTATGTATGTATGTATGTATGTATGTATGTATGTATGTATGTATGTATGTATTATTCATTCATTTTTGTCTCTTTGTTTATTTAGTTGTTAATTTCTATTGTTTAATGTATATATGTACATATTGCATATATATATATATATATATGTGTGTATACACACCCCTCCAAAGTGCAGCCTGGCATCAGAGTGCTCGACCACTTCTGTGAACTCCACATCCTGGGGGCAGGACTGTAGGACTGCCCAGGATTCTGGGGATCAAGGAGACCATGAAGCCCAACCCCCAATCCAAAACCCCCAGTTCGAAACCCCTTGATGAGGACAAGGGACCTCTAGGAGCTTCCTGACCACGCTGTCGAGCTGCTTCTTCATCCACTTGGCCTTTGCGGGTTTGGGGTTTGGGGCTTTAGGGTTCCGATCTACGGGTGTTGGGTTCAGGGCTTCAGGATCTCGCTCCAGAGGCGCACCACACACCGCCGGCCCCAAAACACGAAAGAAAAGCAATCGCCTCCTTCTTGTCCTTCACCAAGCAGGCGATGGCACCCCGGTCGCCCTGCCGACACACTTGAAGGTACTTGGCTTTGGTTTTAGGAATTAGGGTCACCCTTTGCCTTAAACCGCTGAACATGAAACCCTCAACCCTTAAAGTGTTTGGGAGGGTCACGGCCCAGGCGACTCTGCAGCCTGTACAGGGACCCTAACTGACTCCATTTACGCCTCCCGTCCTTCACTTGGTTCAGAAGTTGGGGCTCAGGGCTTGAAGTTTGGCGGCTTAGCAAGCTCCAAAATGCGCAGTCCTGGGTGACCTCATGTAGTACTGCGCCATGTACCCACACCCTATACACGACATCCTTTCTGGCCCCGGACCCTGAACCTGAATGCTGACGTTCCTTGGTCGGTGTCAAGGACACGCTTCCGGAGCCTGATCCCAGGCGCCCGCAGCCTGAAACACTAAACCCCAAGACCTGGGCCCCGCCCCAACTCAGGACTTGGGACTGGGGAGGTGTGACATGCTTTGCTGTTTGGTATGATTGTTGTTATTCGTCTTCTGCCTGGTACAGCTATTCAAATCCTCTGCTCTGTCTGTTTTTCATCTATTCCTGTTACTCAGGGAGCGGACTATGCTTCCCCCAAGCCGCAGCCTGACCCACTGTCACGACCCGAGGCTTGAAGGTCTTGGACTTGATTCTCTCCTCGACCTTGCCGCGTAGAGCTTAACGTGCAAGAATCTGTCTGAGATCCATGAAAGGGTTGCTTGGTGAGTGACAGGCCTTGGGCGCTCGGTCTAAGGGGGGTATGGGCGGGGTAGGGTGTGGGGTGCACTTGTTTGGGATAAGTGGGCTCACCCAAACCCCTCAACTCCAATGCCTCCTCGCGGAAGCTGGTGGCGCTGAGCCGTTGCCCAAGTGCCTGGGATGTCCCGGGATGTAGGAAGATGGGGTTTAGAGTTCTTGGTGTCCCAGATGTGTGGCAAGATCGCATTTCGCTCAGGCCTAGAGGAACGAGTATCTGCACCTCTCATGTCCTTCCCTTGCTGCTGGTTTAGGGGCTTAGGGCTTCGGGGTTTGGAACCTAGGTCTGTACAGGTGTCAAGATTGGTGCCCCGGCCTCGACCGACTGCATGGTTGCCCTTTGGAAGGCCTTCCGGTTCTTCCCCTGGCGGCGCAAGACTTAAGACTTAAGAAGTCAGGGAAGATGTAGGGAAGGAGGGGCTGTTGTTGTTCATACCTTCACAGGGTTCCTCGGCCACTTGGAGCCCGGGCATGGCATTCTCAGGTTTTGGGTCCCAGAGAAGGAAAGAAAAGTGAGATCCAGCAGAATGAGGCGGCCTTCGTCAGGAGCCAGCCTCAAGCACGGGCTTGCAAGAGGGGCAACTGAGACGTACGGGTTTGAGACTCAAGAGATGCGGGAATCAGGCCTTCAATAGAACTCCCAAGATGGGAATTACAAATCAGTTAACATCAAATCCATCAAAAGATAGGGGGGGGGGGGATCCGAAAATTAGGGGTGGTAATTTGGGGCTCCTACGAGAAGGATTTCTGCATTTTGGGCCCAGCTTCGAGCCTAAGACTTCGATGTCACTTTTCGCTCTTGCGCAATCTAAAGCACAACCTGAAGAATCGCGGGTGTGGGACTGCGGGTCACTACTCTTCACTAAAGGCCAGAGCTTCTTCAGAAGGTGCTGCACCAGGGGTCACACAAGCACGTAAGGTTTAGGTTTGCGCCTTTAGGGTGTAGGGGATTAGGAGTTAGGAGTTCGGAGTTAGGGTCCAGGGTAGCTGGGTTTGAAAACCCCTAAACACTAACCTCTGAACCAGCCCTCACAAGGCCCCTCAACAAAAAAGCCCCGAAAACCGACACCTCTGAGCTCTGCCGCGACTTCTGATGAGGGCCGCACTGCTTGGGTCCTGGATCTGTCTCGCGAGCTCGTCCGCCTCGTGGGCTTCGGACTTCAGGTGGGTAAGGCTGGCTGCGGAACTTTGCATTGAAGTTCCCAGAAACGTGCTCCCTAAGCCCTTCACGTAAAGCTGCCCGGAGAGGCCCCTATCCCATTCTTCAGGGGTATACTGTTTTAACTGTGTGTACGTTATTCAGCCCGGAGTCTCCCTGGGCAGAAAACTATTGCTGGGCCTACTCGTTGTGACTGCCTCTTCTTCCTGCTGTTCCTTCTTGCATGTGTGCGCGCGCGTGCGTGTCTGTGTTTTTTGGGGGAAAGGGGGGGAGCAGGCGGCACGAGAGGTGTTTAAGTGCTTCTTGAGCCCAGATTTCAGCAGTTTGCTGTGCGGTCGAGACTCAGGAGCGTCTTGGGTTCAGATGGACTCATGACTCCAAAGAACACACCGGCCGCCTGCTCACGTGTCATCTGGAACTCGAGGATAATCGAGCCCGCAAACACCTGCCACATTCATCGAAGGAGGTCTTAAGCCTGCGCTACTCAAGAAGCCGATGCGGAAAACTGCAGCCACAAGCCTGCTTTCGGGCCTGAGGTTTAAAAGGTTCTGTGCCCACAACCCCGAAAGGGACCCTCAACCGACCCCGCAAGAGCGAAGTCCTAAGGCTCCAAAGCACCAGAACCCGCAGAACCCTCAGGCACCTGCCTTGCAGTCTAAAGGCGCCTCGCTCACAGCCTGGCCCACCACTTCATTAAACGAATCTTTTTCTGAAACTGGGCTTAGGGAGGAGGGGGGTGGGGGGGGCAGGGGCTTGAGGGCAATGCTCTTGGTGCCCAATTCCCGGTGAATGGTTCAGTCTTCGGATAGGTCTGATGATGGTTTCAAGTATTTCAAGTATTTCTTCAAAATGTAGTAGTTGCAGAAATGATTCCAGCCCCTGCAGCCTTCTGAATGTCGTTCATGATGGAGTCGGTCCACTTCTTCCTTGCCGATCGTCGGCAGAGAAAGCACAAGAAGCTAAAGGCCGTTGTTGGCGGTGGGGCTGCCAATGTCATCAAGAACTCGCACTGCGCATTTACATGCCGCGATGTTCTTGCCCCGACAAAACTGGAAAGCCATCACCCCGCAGAATGCGAACAGTCCTTCAGCACCCTGGAGCACCCTGCTCCTAGACCCTAGTACTAACCCCAAGCCAAGAAATCTGACTTGATGGCTGCCGAAGGCGGCCTCTTGTCCGCCGCCTTCACCGTGGCGTACGCGAGGTCGAAGCGAATCTGGTGCCTGCAGGGGAAGCCCAAAACTCAAGCCTCAAGCCCGAAACTGAATCCGGAGAACAAGTAAGCTCTGAACAAACACTTTCAGCCCTTTAACTTGCAGATGGAAGGCAGCGGGGTTGACGATTCGGTTTCAGAGGCTTTGGCTTCCAGGCTCAGACCCTCAAACCCCAAACCCCAAACCGCCCCCACTTGGCCCCTGCCTGGGCTTCAGGTCATGCAGGTCTACCTGCACCCATCGGGCCGTTTGGTCCTGGCAAGCTGGCTCAGAAGGCCTTGGGGGGCGGGGGAGGCTGGACAACGCGATGATGGCCTCGGATCTGAGATAGACTCGTTCAGGTCGTTTTGGGTTCCGGGGTGTGAAAAACAAGCCCACGCACTGGTTTGCTGCAGTCGGCCCTAACCCCCCAAATGCAAGCTTTCAGAGATTCTACAGGTTTCGACCCGTCAACACATAGGATGTGCCCCAAAACGGCTGCGGACTCCACTTCTATCCTAAAGGCGATGCAGGGCCTCCTTGCTCACGGATGTGAGATTCTCTAGGTCACGTTCGGCATGTAGAGCAGTAGCCCGCCCTTCCCTTCTGAGTCGGGGGCAGCCGCTTCCGTGATGTTGGCCTCATCCAAGGAACCCTCACTGCCCCATACGGGAACACCCCCAAGGTTGAAGAAGTTTGGCAACTCATGGATTGAAGGGTGAACATCAGCCTTTGGTACCTGTCAGGGCTTGGGTTGGGGCTCCCACAAGGAGTGTGATCCGTTTTCACCTAAACATCCCTAGCTGCTATAGCTCCAGGCTCCGCATGGAATGGAATGGAATGGAACGGACTGGAACACAACGGAACGGAATGGGATGGAAAGGAACAGAATGGAATGGAAGGTGGGGTGAGGTCGGGGCAGTCCCGTGAGGCTGGTTCGGAGCGGGAGAGGGAGAAGGGTTCTGACTGGGGCCCTCAAAAGCAAGGTGGCACTGCAAGAACCAACACATGCCTCCACACCTTGAGCCTGCCTCTAGCCTTCGAAACCCAAACGAGGCACACCCCTTAACAACGAACCCCATACCCCACAACTTAAACCCAAAGCCCTGAGCTCAACCGGGAACCAACTACAGGTAATTTTTTTTTTTTTTAATTTAGTAGGTTCCGGAAATTATCACCTTCGCCCCCCAGTCAAGCTTGCCTGCAACCGTTCTGGCGGCAGCTGAATGGTCTGCGGCGATGTAGGGTTTGGTGGTTTAAGTAGCTTAGGGCGTCTTAAGGCCTACAAGCAACAAGGGTTGCTGGATGGTTTAGGAGGAGTTTAGGATCCAGGGCCTCGTGGATTTAGGGTTACGGTTGATCCATGTCCAGAAGCAAACTCTCCAAGCTCACCTACCACACAGCTGAAACAACAAAACGTTCCCCCCACATCCAACATCCCAACACCCCACTTCCGAATCAACACCACGGAAAGGATCGGGCCAAGCCGAAACCAAAGCATCCCTTCCCTAAGCCACATGTACTTGGACTCTAGAGTCCTAGATCCTAACACCCAAAGGACCCCATCACGGAGCATGTCCTGAGGGCATCAGGAGTCCCCGTATGCCCCCCAGTATGGCCTGATAGCCCCCAAATGGTTCCTAGTAGTTCCGAATGGGCCTTGTTTGGGGGAGCCCTTCCCCCTACCCTTGAGATCCATGTCTGAAAGTCTCACTTAGGGCTTCCCCAAGGTCTAAACCCTTTGGGTTCAGGGCCCCAGCCCGCAAAGTGCCCAGCCTCGCCAGTGTACTTCAACATCAGGTCCGTGGCCGCTGGAAACAGCTGAGCCTGACCCAGGGAAGGCGTAGGGCGCAGGGCGATTCCGAGAAGTTTAGGGTGTAGGGGGATGGGATTCGGGGAAGTTTGGCGTGCGGGGGTCAAGGTATCCGTAAACAGCTCCAAACCCCGTGGGCCCAGGGCTCGGGTGTAGGTGAGCGGTAATCCCAGGCCCATCTTGATCTTGGGTTTCGAGGTGCAGGTGCTTGGAGTTTAGGACATGGAGTGCCGAAAAGGGTTTGGGTTTAGAAGCCATAAGCCCCAAAGACCAACCATGAGCCCCAAAACTCGGCAAACTAAACTCCAACACAAACCTGCACCCCCGTCTCTTCTGGCCACCCTAGACCCAACAAAACACAAAAAACAAACCGCAACATCCTTAAAACGCTGAAAACCGTGAAGCCCTACCCCTTAAACTCTGAACCCCTGAACCCTGAAGCCCCTAGAAACCCAAACCCCGTTTCTGTGGCTCCCTGGCCCTGAGGACACCAAAGACGATCTCATCCGGCAGGGCACAGTGGCAAATGACGAAGGTCGACTGGTGCGTTTGGCGTTTAGGGTTTTTAGGGTTTGGGGTTTAGGGTTTAGGGTTTAGGCTTTGAGGCTCAGAGGGCTAAGGGTTGCAGATTGCACACGCAAACGCACGGTCGCAGCTCTGGACTTTCCTTGAACACCATGCCACAGCCTCAGGCCATTCCGAGCTTTTGCCTTGTTGGAACGCGTCTTGGACCCCCAAATCCCGAATCACTTCAGCTGAACTCCGAGGATCGAAAACCCCCTGCGAATACGAATACACCCCGCCTCTGCCACTTGCGACCGCTTTCCGCCGACCACAGCCACAGCTCGGAGTTGCACGCGGGGCCTAGAACGGCCAGGCAGCATGTGGGGGGCCTGAAGCTCAAGCATGGGCCCTTTTCGATACCCTTAGACCAAAAGCAACCCGCATCCAAAAAACCCTGAAATCTTGGGAGCCCTTTCTGGGCTCTCGGCTGCGAGACGGTGAAGGGGCCGATGTAGCGTTGGCCGGCCTGGGCAGGGGCACTGCGCTTGGGGGAGCTCTCGAAGGCACGAACGAAAGGGGTGAAAGGAGATCAGCTCTCTGCTTCCAGGGGGCCAAGTAACCGAGGATCTGATGTCTGTGTAACTTTTGAAAACCGCTCTGCAGGTAGACTCCCCTAGGCCCTAGGCCCCTGATTCTGCAACCTAAGATGGAAGATCCGACAAAGAAGATGCATGGCTATGAAGCCCTGGGGCTCTGACCGCCCTGGACCACCGCATCTCCGAATGCCAGACATGTCCCAGCTCCCGTGTTCACCGATGCCCCAGGATGCCCCAAATCGATGTTTTCGAGGTCCCGGCAAGGAAAGGGTCCCGGCCGTCCACAGTGTACAGGACCTAAGCACTCCGCACAGAGGGCAATGCTGTCAGTTCCAAAGAAACCTTTACCCTGAACCCTAAATCCCAGGCCCAATAATATTGCCCCAAGGCTTACTACACTCTCGACTGCAGTTGGATCATTCGATACTTTGGGGGGCTTTCCTCGGCCCTGGGCCTTGACGCCGTTCGGTAGCTTCGCCGCATCCTGGCACATCGGTGCTCGGCTTTGGGGTGAAGGGCTGGGGCGCTTAGGGGTTTGAAAACTTCCGGCTTGCGAGGGGTTTTTGCAAGAGCTTGGGAACCCCAAAAAGCTCTAAACACCCTAAACCTCGAGACTCTCAACCCCCAAGCCCGAAACCCGGCTTCGGGGCTCAGGGTTTTTGGGTCGAGGGCTTTAGGGTTTGGGGTGCGGTTCGGGATTGCGGGGATTAGGGCTTTGGGACTGCCTACAGCCCGGCGGCCCGAAATCCGGCACCAGCTCAAAGGTTTCGGCCTGACATCCTAAAGCCCTGAAACCCTGCGAAAAGATCACAGCAGAACCGCTTGAGCAACTGCTCAGGTCTCTTTTTGTTCCTTCTTGCGAGCGAGCTTTCCAGAGCCTAAGCCGCGAGAGACACCAACCGCATGCCTGAAAGCCCGAAGAGTGTAAGCCTCCCTAAATAGCCTGAGGCTTGAATTGGGAGGGCTAATCCCATAGCACTACATCAACTGGAGGCTTCCGCGAACCCAAAAGCCCCTGAGTCTGCATCTGTTCGGCACTTTTGTTCTATGCACACACCCTAAACCTCGAATGATGGCGATCCGCCGAAAGCACACTTGACACTTCTGGCTCAGTCAGCCCCTGCACGGAGCTGGGAGAGTTGGTGAGCTTGCAGGGGGAGTGGGAGTTTTAGGACAGGGCTCAGGTCATGGTTTAGGGTTTGTGAAGTTTACGAAGTCTACGTATCACGGCCAGGCTTTAGGGCTTACAGTTCTGCAGAGCTTTGAAGGTGGCGGTTTGGGGGGGGGGGGGACGAAGCCTAGATTCTTTCATGAGAAGGACTAGAAAGGCTATGTGACACTGCCGTCAAGCTACGCTCTAAGCGCACAGCCCAAAACCCCTAACCCTGAAAACCTGAGTTGACTTGGCTGATTTGGAACATGCCGGAGGCCCTGATTTCCAAGGCTTGGTCGGGCTGAAAGTTCGCGGCTCAATCCATAACAACTCGAACAAGATGGTCTCCTCTGAGCTGTGGACATGGGGCCGCTCTAAAATCCTAAACCCTACGGACTCCTACACCAACCCCCACACCGGCCGCCCCAAGGGGGCTGTTGCCTCGTTCCTCCTGGAAGCCGCCTTCCTCCGTGCTTTCCGCACCCACCCTTAGACACTTTGGGCTCGTGGGTCTCAGATTTTGGGGCTTGGAACACACGTGGGCTCAGGAGCTGTGTTTTAAAATGTAAGGATTCAGGTCTTTTGGGAGTCGGGCTTAGGATTCTCCAACCGATAAACCATTTTCCTTACAGGTTTGTGGCTTTTGAGGGTATGGGGCTTCGAGGCCGAGAGTGGGTTCTGGGTTTAGGGTTTGGGCCTCCATTGCGACATTCATCCTCATGTTTCTGACATGCAACGGCTTGCAAAGCCAGTCCAATCGGTGGCCGAAAGGCTGCTTTAAACGCGTGGAAGCCGCTGACATGTGCGTTCGTACTGCAGAAACGTGACACCAGATCCGACTGAACAAGCAGTCTGCCTGCAAAACAGGCATAGCAAGGGCAAGGTCTAAAAGCCACGTGGGTCTGTGCCACTGGGGAATGCCGCTTTACACTCAGCAGCCTTGGAAGCGCTATCAGCCAAAACAGCATAAGCTGCTCGGGTTGGCAGCATTTTAAGGGAGAGTGCCGACATGCTCCCAAAGTAAAGGTTCCTCTCATGACAACCTCCTCATCCTAGACCCGAAGGCAGCAGGCGGAAGATGCCCGTTGATGCGTTATGCCTTCGGGCACCGCATGTTAGCATCCTAAACGCGGAGCCCTAACCCGCGGCCGGGGGCCTCACAAAGTTCGTTTCTTCACTCTGTGTGGTGCTTAGGGGTTGAGAAGTTGCCCCTTCCCAACCCTCCACTAAATGCGAGCCTTCCTTAAACAAACTGACCTGCCGGGTCCCGGACGCCCAGCCCATGGCCTTCGCCTCCGGGCCGTACATGCGGAGCAGTGCCGACCTTCTGCCAGAGTTAGGGCTTACGGCCTCCAGGGCCCAGGGCGTGTGTTGCGAATTCGTATAGCCCTAAACCCTACCCTAAACGCTAAGCCCGAAGCCCTATCCTGAGGGACTTGAAAGCCAAGTCTTGCGAAGTCCGATACACCCAATACTTTGAGCTCAACCATGGAAAATTCCAGCAGTCCCGACGCCAGTAACAGAAGCCCCCCTCCCTCAACCCTCAGGCCTCAATCCAAATCCCTACCTTCTGGGATCCTGAGATCCTACACTTCAGGTTTGGGGTCCCAAGCTTAAAGGGCGCAGAGTAGAGAGCCAGGTGCTTCAAAAAATCTTGGCCCCCAAAGCCTCCCCCAATACCCTCTGCTGGGTTCGGCGACTCCTTCTTGTCGGCCAGGCCGGGCTGCAGATACCATGCCACCCCGTCTCGGTTCTGATTTTTCAGGGGGGCTAGATATGGAGAGAGGAGTCGCTTTGTTGTTGCAGAGATAGTAGGGGGGGGATCCCAAGCCTCATGCGCTTGGGGGGCTCTATTTCCGCGCTATGCATGGACCCCAAAGGACTGGAGCCTGCTTTGGCCCCGTATGCCCTTGGACGCAGCTTCCCCTAAGGATTTTCATGGATCTTTCATTCATCTACCCATCTCCGTATGCTCCCCCTGTTGTACCTTTCGGGACAGTTGATAGAAACCTTCCCTCTGCCTATAAACCCAGAGGTCCCCTTTTTTGTGGGGACATTGGGCGAAGGGCCCGGCCTGCAGGGCTCAGTACAACCCCAACATGCGAAACCAGCATGCACCCTTGACCACAACACTATGGAGCGAAACGGAGAAGTACATAAAGCAACCAGTGTTGCTCTCGCCCCACTTCAGATTTTAGCTGGCTCCCCTCAACCAGAAAACGCCCTAAGATGCCGGCACCCAGGCCCGCGCTGGGCCAGGGCACCGACCCGACGCCGAAGTCACGACCTTCCGAGGCACCTCCCAGGCATGAGACTCCGGGGCACCGGAGGGCTCCAGGAAAGAAAAGGGCACCACGGCTTATTGGGTGTGTGGTGCTGTTTATGTCTATCCATTCAATATCGCCCCAAAGCGTTGCTCAGCCAATTCTGTTGTTCATCTTGCTTGTGTTTTGTTCAACTTGTCTACACGCTTAGACGACGTGTGATATCTTAACTTACTAACTCGACATCGCCTCGACAGATCGAACATTGGTAGTCTGTCTATTCTGGAGCTAGGAAAAGGATTCTGGAATAGATGAGGTTGGGAGTTTGCTTGGTGGGGAAGTACAGAATGCATGCGGCAGCCTTGTTTTCACTATTGCCATGATTAGTACTACGAATGTTACTCTTGTTGTTGGCTTTATTGCTACAACTGCGAACGGTTGTTACTGGTGTCGTTGTGACTTTGTCTGTTGCGTCGCTACTTCTCGTTGTTATTGCTATTGCCATGTAGTGCTATTGTTGATTGCTTTTAACTACTTTGCTAATGCAAGTGCTTCTTGCTGACATTGCTGATGCAATATCTATTGGTATTGCTACTGCCATTTCTATTGTTCTTGTTGCTGTTATGGGTATGCTGCGCACATTCTTCTTATCGTTACCCCAGCCTTCCGTGGGCGGGCCCTGTGCCAAGGCGGCATCCAGCCAGGTCCAGGGGCCTCCGCACGTTGGAGAGGGTTGGGGATGTTAGGGTTTTAAGGGCTTTTAGAAGGGTGTCGAGGGTTTTGAGGGTTTGGGAAGTGTCGGGTTTAGGGGTCGTTCGGTTGACAACAGGATTTCAGGGAGGTGTTGGACATTGGCGGAAGCTTTAAAGGTCAGGTTTGCAGGAGTGCTGTAGCACTCAGCAGGCCTTCTAGGGCTCAGCGACCTGGAAGGATCATGGAGAACAATGCACTGGGGTACGGGCACCACCTGAAACCAGGTTCCCGGAACCGAACTTCGGCTGTTTGTGTGCGTCTACATGTCGTACATCGGTTTTGCACTCGCTTGAGGGATAGCATCAGAGTAGAAAGCTGTGCCAAACGGTCCAAACGTCGTCGAAGCAGCCCTGCACCCTCAAACAGCCAGCTGCTAGCATTGACTCCCAAGACACCTAACAAGCGAATACGCATCGGGCTCTGTTGATCCTTTTCACCAGCGCTCTGCACTCGGCGAAGACTGCATGCTGGCCTCCAGCAGCATACGCAGATTCCCGATTCTGACGACGAGCGCTGGAGAAAGATACTGTGACAACGACGGCGAACGTGCGCTCCGACAGCGAGCATGTGACTTGTAGATGTCCACCTGGACACGCTGCCTTCGCCTTTTCCACAGCCATGCTCGAATTTGAACCTGCATTTGTCTCCAGTTAATCGCTGACAGTCTCCTCGCTCTGCTCTTCGATCACCTCCTTGACAAGGACGGCGGTAGTAGAGGCCCAGACGTCTACGTGACAGAAGCGCTGGAGGGGTCTGGTAGGGTGTTGGGCTCTGGGGCCTAGGTTCAGGTCTGGCAGCCCGGATCAAGCCATGGCCCATCTTCTGATCCAAATGTGCACTTCCTGAGCGACCACAAAGCCTTCAAAAACGTGGAAGATCGGGGATGGTGCTGACCTGCTCATGACCTGCCAGGACTTCCAAAGAGGCATCATGCCTTGTGGGAGATTTTCAACCGAAGACGCTTAGGCTAATCTTGACCTCAGTTGAATGCCAAAGGCTTCTCTGTCGTTGATGGAATGCTAACACGCTTACAGCCTGAAAGGCTTTGGCTATGGATTCTACAATATCAACTCCAGCGCACTCGGTGGGATCCCTCCAGCACGTTTCATGCCACTACCCTGTACACCCGCTCCTCACGAACTTGGGGCCATCCCCGAATCTGAAACCCTCACCCTACACCCCGAAACTCGAAACACCCTGGAACAGATTCCATAACCTCGGTACAGGGAGGCATGCCACTTGAAAGGCGTGATCACAGTAGGCCTTGCAATACAAGGTGACAGCAATTGGGATAATTAGAGGCAACCGCTTGTGCAACGCATGCAGAGTGAGCAAGATTTGCATCTAGTGCCCTTCTTATGGGCCTAAGAGGCAGATAGCTTCGGAAGTTCCAGGGCGCAGCTTGTGCGGGGAATTGAAGTCATTAGTACCACAGCTAGGATATGGCTATCAACCATTCTACCCCATGCGCCGGCAAAGCATCGTGGAATTCTTCTGGCAAAGGAGTGAACGGCATGCAAACTTCCAACCTACCCATATGGCCACCAACCTGCGGCAAGGCTTCAGGACATGCCACTCATTGAAAGAACAGTCTTGAATACGAGACTCAGATTCCAACATTGAGAACGTGTAGACAGCCTGGCATGACAGTGCACTTCCATACGAACTAGATCCTAAATCCTAGACCTCACTCAATCCCTAAACCTGCACTCCTTCGACCTGGGTGTCCTCATAAACAACTTTGCGCACCAATCCTACATGTGTTCATCTCCAACGTCGCGACAATGAGCAGTCGACACACTGGGGAGGCCCCTGGAGGGTCTGGGAGGCCCTGAAAAGGCCCTGGGAGGCCCTGGAAGCACTGTTGGCATATTCCTCCCGTATCATGGCAACTGGCTTTCGGGCTTGCAGTACAAGGTTCAAGTTAGGGTCTTGGTGTTTTGGATTGCCATAGGGTTTCAGAACTGAGCGCCCAACTGGGGCATGGGACATAACATGTCCACTACGACAAGCATGCAGATGTCCTGCTGGTATGGAAACTCTGTTGCTGTTAACCTGTATTGAGGAGAAGCAGAGCATTCGATGCGCATATGATGTGGCCTAAACTCATACGGACCACCGCTTGGGATGCTCTGGACGGTGTCCAGGACTGGAGATTTGGGTAGCATTTGAGAACCAACAGAGACACCGGTCTTGTAACCTCACGTCTCAGCCCGAAAACGCCCCCCATGTGAAGGTCACGAAACCTCCCGAAGCACAGCTTCAGGGCAGGTTTGGGTTTTAGATCCGGGCTTCATGGGTGCAGGGTTATTGGGTTGAGGGTCTGTTGCTGGATGCTGCAGTGCGAGCGCACGGTCGTTGGGGCTTTGTGGTTCTGTTGCCACTTGCCCAAAACCCGAAAGCCCCCGTGCACAAGCGCAAAGTTTAGGGTTCAATGCTTAAGCTTCAGGATGTAGGGCTTCGGGCTTAGGGCCCCTGGTTCACGGTCAGGGACCAGCCTCGAGCTCCTCGCGCTGGGGGCCGTCATGGCTGCCGCTGCGAGCCGCTGCGGGGTTGACCGCAGAACCAGGCTCAACCCTAACCCCACCATCAGGCAACACCCCCCTGAAAGCCCCCCATCATCTCACAACCGAGCCCTTCGCCTTTGCAGCCTTGGGCGGCTTTGAGGGTTCGGGCTTCAACCCTCGACCCCAAGACCTCCACAAAGACCGCTAAACCCCAAAATCCTAATCCCTAAACCCCGAAACCCCTACACGCGCCCTCAAACCCACCAACGCACGCTCGCGTTGCATATGTATGTATATATGGTATAGATGTATGCATGTGTACATACAAACATGGATGAATAGTCGACCCACAGAACTCGGAGCTGCCTGCGTTGGGCTCCTCCTGGGACTCGCGGAAGCGCTGCACCTCTTCCAGGAACCAGGGCTGGAGCCACTCCTGCCCACTCTGCGGGAACTTAGGATTCAGGGTTTTGGGGTATTTTGGTTTTCCGGAAGAGGCCCGCAAGACGAAGCCACAGAGCACCATGCAGCGCTCCAGACCTTAAACCAAGCCCAGCGACCAAGACCCCAGCAACACATAACAAGGACAGGAGCACCCCAAAACCCCCGCAAGAAAGGCCCAAACTCTGAACCCTGCACCTCCGAAACCCTAAACAAACCCTAAACCCTAAACCCGAAACCCTAAACTTGGGCCATTTCTTGGCTCAAGGAAGCCTCGCGCCAAGGCCAGGCAGCCGCCGTCGTGTAGGCGGCGCCTGCGGGCTCTTTCGGGCTTTTGGCGCTTAAGCTTTATCGGGGGTTCAAGTTTAGGAGCTCGGGGAGGAAGGGCCTGGCCTACTTCAGTG